TCACTCATTTATCCAGTTAAATATTACAAGCTTTGTTATTTGACTGGGGATCCAATTCTGAACAAGTAAACGAGGTCGAGCCCTCACGAGACGGGTTTTTAAAAAAGCCAATGATTCCACGAGATGAGTGAGGTGGAAGCGATATGCCATGGAAACTGAGGAGAAAGCACGTAACCCTTATCACACGGGCCAAGGTGGCTTCCTAGAGAAGAGACTTATGTACACTTAAAGATGAGTAAGAACTGGCCAGAAAGAGGGTGTTCTAAATAATGGAAACAAAGACTGTGTATTCAGGTTTAAAGTCATTAAGGCTGAGACAGCAAAGGTGTTTTTGCAGTTTGCTGCAGTGATCATGTCAATCGCAGCCAGGAAAATCTTTCTAACATTGTATTGGATTCCTTCCCGCTCTCAGGCAGTGCTAGAACCCGTTAGAACGGCAGCCCCTTGGTTCATGCGCAGGACGAGTATTGACCAGCGTACCTGTCCTAGCCTTTACAGAAAAGACTAACCAAAATGACGTGGCTCCTTTTCTCCCAAACTGGGGGCAGTGCTCTTCCAAACAAGGCGAAGTGATAAAAACAAGCCAGAAAACCCTCCAGTTCTGTCTTCGTGATGATGATGACGACAACGACAATGGCACTACCATCTCCTGCGTGACTTTTATTACCAAACTCTGTTGGAACACGTTGGACGTTGAATTTTCCCATAATTAGACCCTAAGGAGAGGATATGGGAGATGATCCTGGAAGCACAGAGCAGCAGGAAGGGAAGAAGCCCAAACGAATGTGAGTGAGTGGTCACGTCTGTAAGCTCAGCCCTGCTTGGGACCCTCTGAGAAGCTTAGCGGCACACGGTCCAGAGCCATCCCCAGCCCACCAGGCATTTGGAGGCCAGGGCATTTACCCACTGGCTCCAGGCCACTGTGGCTGAAAGCTGCCATGCCAGAGACCAGCATTATTGACCTGAGCTCAACTGGAGTGAACAACAGCTTATTGAGTGCGTTCAGGCTCTCCAAAAACTGAAATGTTTCATCATTATGCAGAGGAACTGTGTAAAGAACTCCTTGAAACTCAAGCAATTCCGAGGAACAACTCTGAATCATCGTTTTTTTTATGGAGCAGCTCCATACAGATACAATATAGAAAGCCCCAGAAGGTGTCAGCTATACGGGCATTAGGGGAGATGCTCATTCTGTCTGTCTCCAGCTGTATGCAGCCTTCATAACCCTTTGTCTCCAACAGATACTTGTCTAAAACTCCTGAAGAACCAGCCACTATTAGCTAAATAACAGGCCTCCTCCCTCCGCATTTTGCTGTTGTTGTTCTTATCTGTTCTAACAGATTGCCCACTGCGTGGGTGGAAAAACAAGGTTTCTTGCCCTGTGCCAACACACAACTTAACCAATGCTGAAATGCTGTATTTAAGTCAGTAATCAAGGAAGTAAGGAAACGGCAGGGAAAGCAAAAGAGAAATAATATTTAAAGACAATATCTTACATTTACTGAAGGCTTTACACCTGTCAGGCACTTTATATGTATTTTCTAATTTTATCCTACTAATCATCCTGTCACTACGTAAGCTTTGTTAGCCCCATCTTGTAGGTGAGATAATGCAGACTTGAGTAGGATAAATGATGGGTTCGTGGTTTTTTTTTTTTTTTTTGATGTCTGATCATATTTATTTGTCACTCATAGAAAATCTCATTTTTGACTGGACTCAGACTTAGAGGTAGAAGCTCTCAGAGAGGACAGCCTCCGTCTCTTGGCAATCTGTTCCTGGCGTTTTTCTTTGGCCTCCTTCATTCTCTTGGCCAAAAGTTTAGCATATTCTGCAGCCTCTTCCTTATTTTTCTTAGCGCGCTGCTTCTTCAAAGCAATACGCCGCCGTTTGTGCTGGAGGACTCGTGGGGTAACAAGACGCTGAATCTTAGGCGCTTTGGTTCTAGGTTTCTTCCCTTCTTTGTTTAGGGGCTTTCTCACAACATACTGGCGGACATCATCTTCTTTAGAGAGATTGAAAAGTTTGCGGATTCTGCTGGCTCTTTTGGGCCCCAGGCGACGAGGCACAGTAGTATCAGTGAGTCCAGGAATGTCCTTCTCCCCTTTTTTTACAATGACCAGGTTGAGAACACTGAGATTGGCATCCACAATGCGACCCCGAACCGATCTGCGCTTTCTCTCTCCAGTCCGCCTTGGTCTAGAGCAGGAATGCCCCTTACTCAGCAGCAGGCAGACACGGCCATGGGTCAAGACACCCTGCTTCCTGGGGAAGCCTTGTTTGTCATTGCCACCACTGATTTGGACCACATAACCCTTCCATTCTTCACCCAGAGCACCAGCAGCAACTTCTGTGACCATACGCTTCTCATAAAAGGTACGAAGTTTGTGTTCATCGTCCACTTCAATGAGTTTCTGGCAGCCAGTAGCTGGGAAAGAGATGTTCAGCTTCATCCTGAAGCAGGCTACCGCCTCCGAGGCGCCACGAAAAAGAGGGTTTCGTGTTTTAACAGTACAAGTATGCACTTGAAATCGTGTCTATTTACTTTAAAAATCCAAACATTTACCCCAAATTGTATGTTGCCCCTGAGGAAAGGAAGTGGGGGGAGAAAACAGATGGGAAAACAGGAAAGGAAGAAAAGAGAGGGAAGAGAGGTGGATGGAGACTCGGAGGGAGGGAGGGATTAAAGGATCGATTCTGAACTGGCCGAGGCTCAGGATGACATGTGCTCCCCGTGAGAAGCTGTCACACACTTTACCGGTGATTTTCACATGTGCATGAGAAGGGTCCCAGAAGAAATCATGCAGAAATGAGAACGGTTTCCTGAAACACTGTCTTGGAGTTATTTAGTTTAGAGGCGTTTTGTGACTTGTTTATCTCTAGGATAGAATATGATTTCTATATTTGATACAATTAAAATTAGAATTCCATGTTCCTTTAATTAGGTGAGGACTGTGAGATTGCACAGGAAAATAAATAAATTAACCGACCATGGGCTTAAAATAGAAACAATGATTTCAGATTTCTGTCTCTCTGGTAATTTAGCTCCGGGATTGTTTTGGTAAATTTCTAGATTTAGAACAAAGATTTAGAACAACGATTTAGATTTAGAACAGAGAATTCCAAGTGCTCAATTCATTTCCAGAGTCTAAAAGTGCCTGTTTCACATTGTTTCCTGTCATAGCATGATTTATTGTTTTAATTTTCAACACAAATTTTAGGGTTTTCAGGAAAGAACCGTCAGCAAGACCCACTTTTGTAATTTGTTCTCCAAACCTCACTGTGGCTTGGGGATATTTACTTTATCAGAGAGATAAAGCAAAGCCAATGTATTTCAGAGTGGATAACAGTTTCAAATATCACCCTAGCTTTAATACAGCCATGATAACTGTACGTGTCCACTGCCTGAGATAATTTCAAGAGTGTAAGACCTTTACCCTTTAGAAATTGTTTCCACTCAAGGGTAAAATACTTGTAAGGTATGGATATACTTGCAAATAATTCTCTGCATATCAGATTCACTTCCCAGTGAAGACCAAACATTAAGAAAAGTTTCCACTTGGGACGCCTGGATGGCTCAGTTGGTTAAGCCTCTGCCTTCGGCTCAGGTCATGATCCCAGAGTCCTGGGATCGAGTCCCGCATCGGGGGGGGGTGGCTCCCTGCTCAGGAGGGAGCCTGCTTCTCCCTCTGCCTGCCACTCCCCCTAGCTTGTGCTCTCTCTCTCTCTCTCTGACAAATAAGTAAATACATAAAATCTTTAAAAAAAAGGAAAGAAAAGTTTCCACTCACTCCGATCACCATCATAAAACAACCTTATGAATTCCTGTAGTGACGGAAAGGAAAAACAAGTAAAAGGAAGAGGCAGAGGAATAGAGAAGGATACTGGTAAAGATGTAAAAATAGCTTTTTGGTGAAAGTTTTACTCATTTAGAAGACAATTAAAAGTCCTCCTAAGTGTTCACAAAGACAGTTCCTTCTCCTTTGATGTTATCCTAAACCTTTGCTTTGGAGAATGGCAGATTCTCAGTCATGGACGATGGGTTTCTCAGTAATTATGTGAGCTATTGACATTTGCTCATTTCATAAGCACTTACTGGATGCCTACTAGAGAAAAGAGTGAGTCTATAAAATATACGCTTAGTCCTGTGAGGCAGGTAATCATCTTGTATAGAAGGCAAGTCTAGAAAAGTCATGGAACTTTCTTGAAACCATACACTGAGTGAACGATAGGACACATACACCTCTCTTAAACAGCCGTGACTGGGGATGTTAGCCATTGGCAATAAAGGTAACTTCTGTGAATCTGGTCAGCTCTGCTGCTAGGCATTATGCACTTGATTCCTCCCAGCTTCAGTAGTGTTCATACAATAATACCAGAGCCGTGAAACCCTAAACAGTAGCTCATAGTTATTAGCTTTGCAAGTTTCTTAGAATCCTCACTGAGGTGGGTCAAGGGCATGGACAGTCAAAGAGGCAATGAGGACTAAAAGATTAAAATATAATACAAGAACTCAGGACAGACTTTTCTCTGCCGTAGAGTTAGTGATAACTCAGAAGTGAATGTGGCAGAGGAAGTAAAAAAGTGTGGTCCCGTATCGAGCTCCCTGCTCAGCAGGGAGTCTGCTTCGCCCTCTGACCCTCCCCCCTCTCATGTGCTCTCTCTCTCATTCTCTCTCTCTCAAATAAATAAATAAAATCTTTAAAAAAAAAAAGTGTGTTTGGTGGTAATAGAAGAAGGGGTACCTTTCACTATTTAACGCTTAAGGAACTGCAGTGCCCTGATGCACAAACTGTACAAGAAGTTACCCCCTAAGGAATATTTTAAGGGGGACATATGGCTGAGATGTTACAGGAAGAAAAATATTCTCAATTAACTTAATCTGTGCTTCAGGAAAAAAATTCAAAACTAATATACAACAGTGATATGAATTGAATCCTTATGCCATGTTTCCTTGTGATCTTAATTTCTTAATCAGTCAGAAACATTATGAAATTTTTTTTTCTTTTCCAAACTTTTATTTGTGCACATTCAATTGAAAAAGATAACTTTTACAGGTTCTTTGGTGCCCATATTCAGCATACAAAAATGTAAAAGACTATTCACAAATAAAACACATTAGCTCAAACTGGGAAGAAATAATGACAATAATGAAACAATTTAAGGTAGTGCACACTGTGACACCTCTGCTTATGGGGACATGAGAATTACTGCAAAAATAAATAGAATGTCCTTTTGTAAAAGCAGCAATGTCATGTCTTGTAAACTTCCTTTTTATATTACAGCAAGGTTTGAAATAAAATCCAAAGGGCCTGGAGCTTACACTGTAGCCGTGAATGAATAAAAGAGTCTACTTCCTCAATTAATGTTGGTCCAGTTTTCCTTTTGTTTTGAGTCCAATGTGCAGCAGGTTTTAAAAGGTGCTCAGTTAGGGATTCTAACCAATTACGTGATGAATTATAAAATTTCTTTCCTGCTTTCAAACACAAATGGGTAAATCTGTTTCACAGCAGTAGCAACAGCCTTTACGTTGGGCCCTGTTACTGTGATACTTCCTGTTGAAAAAATCTGTAATGTAGCTCTTAGAGATTTTATCCGATAGCACACAGCAGGATGAAGTTCAGGTTCGTAACTGGCATGAGGTCTATTGTTCTTTGTGAATTCTGGCAAACGGATTTCAAATGGCATGTTACACACTGCCAAAACGTTAACGACCTTAAAATCTGTAAATATTACCTGAAAACCTAGTTTCTGCAGACTGCGGGCTAAACGTCTGGCACCAAATTTAGCTTCTTCTTCACTTGTTGCTCCAGTGCAAATAATTTTTCCTGAGGACCAAATTGTAGCTGTAATTCTAGGTTTTCTAAGCTTCATTAATACTTTTCCAACATCATGCTTATAAATTACATTTGCTCCCTCCAAAGCAATCTTCCTTAAGTTCAAATGGCATCTTGTTCTAAAAACACAGACTACATTTGTAATTAGAATGTCCAATGCAACATCACTGTCTGCATCCATTGGGGTAGTTTAAAAACATAGCTTCCCACCACGAAGATCACATCCGTGGGAAGAGGGGGCGGCGGCAGAGAAGGTTACGTCGGACGCGAAGGATAAGCTGGAGGACAAGGATGATGATGAGGCGGGCGCGCTCCCCAGTCTCCATGGAACTCCCGCCCCGGCCCTTTGCTAGGAGCCCCCGAGGCTCGGGCTCCGTCTTTCGTGCTTTGTTGTTCCGGGTACTGAGAAACATTATGAAATTTTTAATATTCCTTTAGAAAAAGCTTTCCAATTATCTTCTTAATCAGAAAGACAAATATCAAGAAGGCTACAACCACAGAAAGTACTAACTATGATGTATGTGCATTATATGAGTTGCATCTAAGAACAGTATCTTTTTAAAGAAACTTCCATGCTAATTTATAATGGGACAATTTCATTTGAAGGGAAAGAATACATATTAATATCAGGAAGGACATGTTTCAGAGACAGTATGATAATCTTAGAGTTTGTGCTTTGTGCCTTTATTTAACTAAAAGAAAAGCTTTTCCTGAGAGGCTAGACTATGAATTGAAAAGAAGAGCAATTTTAATGAAAATAAGTATCATGAACTAATACTGATAACCACTGGGTTAACAACTAAAATGTTTCAGGCGGGTATGGAAGTAAAAAAAAAAGGGCTCTGGAGGCAGGTTGCCTTGATTTGCAATTAGTTCTGCCAACTGTAAGTTGTATGACTTTGGGCAAGTGACTTCATCTCTCATTGCCTCATTGTGCCACCTGCAAGAGGGGGAAATCACAACATTGATTTCATACAGTGACACCCTCAGACTCAGAACAGTGGCCGGCATAAGATAAATCCTATATAAGAGGCTCTTGTTGAGTGTGTGGGGGGCGTGCAGCCAAGACAGATGTGGGAGGGTCACTGGGAAGCTGAGATTGGAGGTAATAATAGGAGCTGAATGTAATGGAATATCCGCTTCTGGTAGAGGCACATGATAAAACCACTTGCAAGTTCAGTTCATTTGTAAAAAACACAAATGCACAGATATGTACATACATCAGTACTTTTTTAAGATAGAGAAAAATAGAAATATATATTATAATAGAATTATTTTTAGAAGGCAAAATAAATTTTCCTGAATGGAAAATCAGAAAGCAAAATGCATCTAAAAGAGCAAAAACATGTCAGTTTTATAATGTATAGATATGTGTGAAAGTTTAATTCTCTATTGACTTTGACATAGTGTTTGTGGTTAAAGTGTGGGGATAGGTAAACTCTGCTTCTTTTTTTTCACACTATTCATTGTTATTATCTTCCTAAAAATGGAAAACTCAGACAACTTATTTTCAGAGCCCAAATTGAAACCATTCAAAACAATATTTCTCTTCCTTCATAAATAAAAATATTTGATATAAGAAGAATAATATCAACTTCATAACAACATAAGGTGTCCTTTGTTTTTATCTCCCCTTTACACCTAAAATTTGACATCCATCCATAAACAAAAATGCCTCTGTGAACTATGGGATACAGCAACGTAGGCCAAGGGGCCTCGCAGGGCTCTCACCCATGTCCCATTAGGTAATAGACACACCTCAGGACGAGCTGTGGAGCCCACAGGAGTCTGTGAACTGGCCCAACCAAGCTCAGCATAGTATGGGAGCACCTGGGGAACACCACCTGTGCAGATGCACACAGAGGGCAGAGGCTTTTGTATAAGTCCAGGTTTCCAGAGAAGTTCCAGCACTCCATTTGAGCAATGAAAAAAGAATATATATGAGTCTAGGTGCATCGGCCTGGTTAAGAGGGACTTTGCCAGCATTAGCTCCCCCCTCCAGGTGACACAGCTTAGAACAGAGGAGGCCAGAGTCTTCCTGGCAGGGGAAAGGGAGAGTAGTGAGTGAGTTCTGGTTCCCCACCTGTGCAGAGGCTGCTAAAGAAACCCATTTCTCACCCACAGTTACCTAGAGTATTAAATCAAGAGCTCTGTGATTGGGTGAGGGAAAGAAGCAGATCTGGAAAGAAGCAGATAAGAATATTAGAGGGCACTAAAGGGACACAGTTCCTATTGACTGATTTCTCGACTCCAGCAGGCAGCTGACCCATGAACCACAGAGAAAATCTTGCCCAGAGATTCCCCCCAACTAGTCCCTGGACAACTACAATGACCCGAGTGCCCAAAAAACACCTTGCCCACTCTGCAGCTGGCTCCTAGTGTGTGTTCCTAACAGAAGTGGCCAATGTGAGCATCAGTGCACCAGGAGTGTATACAGAAAACAGGTCAGAGTTCTTGCCCACAAGGCAAGAACCACAATCTTGAACTTAGCCCCACCTTTGAGAAAACAAAAGAGAGATTACCAGCTGCTTGGTACATTATAAGAATCAAAAGAAGACGTACAAGCTTGAGATTTCAGCCACATGAAAGAACAAGAAGTGTGGAGCAGGTGTATCCATACAAGGTCAGAGGAAGTCTCAGAATATTGAGCAAGAACAATGAAAAGTATTTCTTACCTCAATGCAGCTAGTAAAGATTGGAGGAAGCAGCTGCTCTTTCAAGTGTGAAAACAGTGATGCAAAGCTCCTAGGAATGTGAAGAATGAAAGAAATATGATATCAAAAAAAGACCACAATAATCCCCCAGCAACCAAATCCAAGGATCTGGAAATCTGTGGTTTACCTGATTTAGAATTCAAAATAACTATTTTGAGGAAATTCTAAGAGCTACTAGAAAACACAGGACAATTCC